GGCCAATGGGGAGCGGTGTTGGCGGGCGCGCCCGCCCCTCCAGGCCCCGCCCCAGCCCCGCGTAGGGCCGTGGAACGGGCGGGAAGGGGTGGCCGCTGGGGTAGGATGGCGGCGGTCCCGGGCACGGGGGGCCCGGGCGCGGCGGGCGGCGGCGGCGGCGGGGCGCGTGAGGGGGCGCGGGTGGCGGCGCTGTGCCTGCTGTGGTATGCGCTGAGCGCGGGCGGCAACGTAGTCAACAAGGTGATCCTGAGCGCCTTCCCGTTTCCCGTGACCGTGTCGCTGTGCCACATCCTGGCGCTGTGCGCCGGGCTCCCACCGCTGCTGCGCGCCTGGCGCGTGCCCCCCGCGCCGCCCGTCTCGGGCTCTGGGTCCGATCCGCACCCGTCGCCCGGCCCGCTGCTGCCGCCGCGCTTCTACCCGCGCTACGTGCTGCCCCTCGCCTTCGGCAAATACTTCGCGTCCGTGTCGGCGCACGTCAGCATCTGGAAGGTGCCCGTGTCCTACGCGCACACCGGTGAGTGCGGCGCCCGGTCGTGGGGGGGCGTCTCACCTTGGAGGCGCCTGGTCTTGCGGGGGCGTCTCACCTGGAATGCCGCCAGGCTCTGCGCTGGGGAGGGTCTAGCACCCGGAGGGGGGCCGGGCCTTCGGGAGGGGAGGGGTTGAAAGGGAGCAGGGAGCCGAGTGGGGTTGGGGTGAAATCCCACAGAAAGAGAAGGACTGCAGAGTTTTGAGGGTTTGCCAAGCTGTCTCAGCCCGCGGATAAGTTGGGACAAGAACTCTCAGGGTGGCCACCTGAGCGCCCCATTGCTTCTCTTTGCAGTCAAGGCCACCATGCCCATCTGGGTGGTCCTCCTGTCCCGGATCATCATGAAAGAGAAGCAGAGCACAAAGGTAACCCAGAAGGACTCTGGGCAGGTGGGGACTCCGAGGGCTTCCAGGAAGTGCCCAGCTGGTGACGTGGTCCAGGCTCCTGGCCTGCAGGTTGCCAGGCTTCCTGTCAAATAAGGAAGTCAGTTTAGATGCCTCTGGTGGCCCTTTTGCTGTTAATTTTCTGCAGTCACCCTGGGAACAGCGGTGCGTGTGTGTGTGTCCCTGAGTTGTTTCTCCTGTGTGGTCTCGTGGACACTGCCCTCTCTTCTCTAGTTCCACTTTCCTCCCTCCTTTGATCTCCTACCCAAAGTGTCTGGTAGGTGATGACTTGATCCCATCTTGGCCAGGTACCCTTTCTCCTGGAGTGGGACGGAGGGTGGAACATCTGACTTCGTGCTGGAATGGAGTTTCACTTCTTTACAAGCGTCAAGCATGGTCGGGTTGGAGGTTTTTGGGGTCAGAAGTGAGATGCTTGTCAAAGGAGTCTGATTTTTGGCAAAAATTCATCAAAGTCTTTGAAATAAAAGCAGCCAAGAATTGGGAATGTTTGAGAATGGAAGTTAAAATAACAGACAGAACCCAGAACTGCATAAAGGAAGGTGCTCTGGGCACAATCCAGGGTCTGTTCGCTGTGCCAAGCCAGGGTGTTTCCTGCCTTGGGGCGAGAGAAGCTGTGGCTTTAGCTGGAGACAGCCTTGCCCATCTATGCCCTCAAGTAGAAGTGGCTCCTGTTGTCCCAGCTGGAATTCATTTCGTGCTGGACAGAGCGCCTCTTTTCTACTTGGTTTCTGGCATCCTGTGTTTATGAGCAGCAGTTCCTTGGATCAGCTTATAGAAATTGGGCCAGCCCAAGCCAGTTGGTTCAGTGGGTAGAGCATCGGCCTGCGGACTAAAGGGTCTCAGGTTCAATTTGGGTCAAGGGCGCATACTGGGGTTGCGGGCTCAGTGTGCAGGAGGCAGCCAGTCAATGATTCTCTCATTGTTTATGTTTCTACCTCCCTTCCTCTCTGAAATCATATATGTATGTGTGTGTGTGTGTGTATTTTTTAAAGGGAATTGGGCCGCTCTGGCTGATTTTTTCTTTCAGCCTATCTTTTTCCCTGCGAGAACTGGGTGTGTTCTGCTGCCTGCTCCCAGGGTAACGTCAGATGTGACTTGTCTCCCGAGTTGCTCAGGAGGTGTGCGGCTGCATCACTCGATATCACAGCATGTTTATCAGGTTTCCCCGTTGTACAGGACATTGGACCTGGCTTGGACAAGGAGCTGGAAACTTCACCCAGTGAGGAAACAGTAGGGAAGGACTTGGGCAGGAGTCTGATAATGAAGGAATGAGTATGGATCCACCCTATGAGGAAGATAAAGCAGGTCATTCCAGATCTCAGGGGAGGAAATGGGACTTGTAAGGGGAGAGTCATGTGCCCACGGGCCTTAGCCGGTAGTGGGGAAGCTGGAATTCAAAGCTCTTGCTTTGACCTGGGTGGAGGCTTGGGGGGCCAGGAGGTACTTGGAGCGGGGTGGGGGAGCATTAACCAGCCGCTTCTAAAATCTCCACAGTACTTTAACAAAGTCCTTTGTAGAAGAGAGAGAAGCTGGGAGTCAGAAAAGCTAAATGTCAGGAATTGATTCTGTTTATCTGGAAATGGGGAGCCACTTAGCCAGCTGAGAGCTCAGGAGCCACTGCATACACCAGGCCCTGGAAAGCTTGGACCTGTGGAAGGCCTCCTATCCCAGCACGTTACTCAGTCATTCAGCCAGCTGTTACTGGATGCCGCTGTGTTTTGGACACCAGGATAGAGCAGTGAACAAGGACCTACCCTAAAGAAGTGCAGGGACACAGACTATGTAATGGACACTTATATTTTATTGATTTTTATTTTTTTTTTTACAGAGAGGAAGGGAGGGATAGAGAGAAACATCGATGAGAGAGATACATCGATCAGCTGCCTCTTGCACACCCCCTACTGGGGATGTGCCCGCAACCAAGGTACTGGCCTTGACCGGAATCGAACCTGGGACCTTTCAGTCCGCAGGCCAACGCTCTATCCACTGAGCCAAACCGGTTTCGGCTAATAGACACTTATAATGGGTGGAGATCTCTAGGCCCAGGAACTTGACAGGGTGGGGGTGGGGGAGGGGACCGGGTGTGGGGAGGTGGGGGGGAAGTTCTCTTGAATGGTATGTGAGCTGAGGCCTGAGCAGGTAGGAGCTCTCCAGCTAGAGAAAGCGCTGGAGGAGTGTTCCAGTCAGTGGTAAATGCAAGTTGGAAGAGGGACCCTGCCAGCCCCCGGCAGGATCGGGGTTTCAGACCCTGGTGTGTTGATGGTGGCAGCTGGATAGATCTGTTAGGAGCAGCCCCTGTTGGTGGCCCTAGCAAGGGCTCTTACTGGGGGTGATGGTAGGGAGTGGGGCTGCCCATAGTGACACAGCCTTGCCCCAGGTGCTACGATAACCATCTCTCTGCCCCCAACCTCCGGAGCACTGCTGTCCCAGCTGACACTGTTGTCCAGAGGATAGGTGGTGCCCCTTCGTTGAAGGAGAAGAGAGCAGCTAAGGCTCTGGGTGTCTGTGTTGGGCGGCCCCACTCAGCTCCAGCCCATCAGCCCTTCCTGCCTCTCCCACAGGTGTACCTGTCCCTCATCCCCATCATCAGCGGCGTCCTGCTGGCCACTGTCACCGAGTTGTCGTTTGATATGTGGGGACTCATCAGTGCTCTTGCTGCCACACTGTGCTTCTCGCTTCAGAATATTTTCTCCAAAAAGGTATTTAGATACTGTCTCTGGTACGATGATGTACTGGGGGTGCATGGGTAGCATTGAAGAAGTGACCAAGTGGGGATTTCTTTGGTGGTGAAGAAAATCATGTCCTCCTTTTCTATTGTTTTATTTTCCAAGAATGTTTTATTTTGTTACTTTCCTATTTATTTTCAAATGCAAGCAAAAGTTTATTTAGAAAGTCATGGGGGGGGGGGGGGGGGCGGTGAGAAAGTCACAGAGGAAGAAAAAGTGAGCCAGCTGGGCTGCATGGGCTCAGGAAACAAGGTCAGAGGCACAAAAAAAGGACCTGGAGCTGAGGGGAGAGAGAGAGGAGCAAAGGTGCTTGCTTTGAGGGAAGAAGAGGAGGAAAGGTGGGGGCATGCTTCAGAGAGCTAGCGAAAGAGCGAGGAAGAGAGAACATTGTGTACCAAGAGATTATGATTTTTTATTATACAATTAACATATGCTTGATGGGGGGGAATAGAGAAAAGTTTAATGAAAAAAATCAGAATTGAGTACCTACTTATGTGGCAGGCACTGTAGTAGGTGCTAGAAATGAAGAATCAGGAGGCTTGCCTTACCTGCCAAGGGGTTTCTATGCTCTTGGGTAAATTATTAATGCTAGGGGTATTTTCTGCACAGCTTTTAGTTTTATAATATTTTAGACCAGAGATCTGGTGCACGAATTTGTGCACAGGTGGGGTCCCTCGAGGTGGCCTACGGGGATCGGCCCTAGCTTGTGGGCCCCCCCCCCCCCCCCGGGTCTCGCAGCCCCAGCTCATGTCCACAGCCTCTCAGTCCTACAGCCGCCCATGGCATCCCTGCCCCCTGGTGCTGCCCCCTGCATCATCCTGCCTGCAGGGCGATCAATCAGAGCCCGGCACCCTGCCCAGCTCCCTCACCACTGGATCTGTGGGGATTGGCAGGGCAATTAGGCCTCTGCTCACACCAGTCTTGGCCTGGCGCTGCCCACTCACCTGCTCCACCATCCCCCTGCAGTCCTGCTCTTGTCAGAGCCCATTGGAGCGAGCAGCACCTCCACTGCTGCACGTTGCCAGCATGTTCCATGCTGACCCCTGGTGGTCAGTGCATTTCATAGCGAGTGGTCAAACTCCCGGTCAAACAATTTGCATATTAGGCTTTTACATATATATAGATACATGTTAGAATTTTGTTTTGCTCATTTACAATTGTATCATTGCATTCTCTGATATCATTAAAAAATATTGCTCTTAACTCCTGTAACAATCACACTCCTCAGGTACCACAATTAATACATTTAGTTCTTCTATTGCAAATGCAGGTTATTTTCAACTATTCATTGTAAGTGATGCAATAATTTACAATGTCTTTCTCTCAGGTTATTTCCTTATGATTGGCTTACATAAGGATATAATGATAAAGGTCAGGAGATGTTTATGGCTCTTGATATGCTTTACCTGGTTGTGTTCTGAAACAGTGATATGCCAATTTAGTGGGATTTCACAGTGCCTAGCCAGCATTGAGGCATTGGGTGTTGCTATTTTGTTTTTGCTTTGGTTTTTTTTTCTCGGTCCTTTGTGTATAAAACATTGTACTTGTTTCAGGCATGAACTGCCTGTCCCATCACAGGTACCCTTGCAGGTTTAATAGTCAAAGGTGTGACTTCAAGGTTAATGTAAAGTCACTGTGTTTGGAGCCTGAGTAACTCAAGTCCTTGACACTGAGAGTGTCGCTTGGCCTTTAAAGAGATTTTCTCTCCTCAGGTATTGAGAGACTCACGGATCCACCATCTGAGGCTGCTGAACATCTTGGGCTGCCACGCCGTCTTCTTTATGATCCCCACGTGGGTCCTGGTGGACCTCTCCACTTTCCTGGTCAGCAGTGACCTGGTGAGTTGGCCGGCACCACGAACACACCCTTTTCTTGACGGGTTCCAAAGTGGGTGTTTTGTCCTCTGTGTTGACTCGGGGGCTGTTGGGGCCTCTGACAGCCTGGTCTTTAAATACTCATCTCTTTGTCAGGGCTCACGTTGTAGGAAGTTGGCTTTCTTTGCGTTTCCTTCTCCAGCATGCTAGATCCCAGCTGCTGATAGCAGTGGCACGAAAGATGACAAGACTGCCAGCACAGGGGACTTCCCCGTCTTCTAATCTGTTCATACCTCACCCTAGCTTTAAAACTGAGTTTGTTCCTTTTTCGGTGTCCTCTCTACATATTTCCGTGTACTGCAGTTGTAGCTGTGGCTCTCTGGAGCACAGGAAGTGGTGTCTTCTCACCGCCTGTGCCGGGCCAGCCTCCAGAGAGCGTGCTAGACGCTAACGCGGGCGCAGTGATGAGGAGCTGTGCGTGGTCCTTCCACACCTGAATTACGGAGGAGTAAATGATTGTGAGGCTTCATGAGATCTGGCTGGGTTCTTGACAGTAGTCTTCAGTCCTTAGCTCCACCTGTGGCTGTCATGGAGCTTACCTCCAGTTACCAGGTAAGAAAACTGTGGCTCCCTGCTCTAACTTCCCTTCCACGTGGCTTAGCTATGATTTCTCTGTGAAGGACTTTTCACCCTCGACCAGGAGTAGTCTGTTATCTTGAAGTACAGGGCATGAGGGGCAGTGCAGTGCTTCTCTTCCCTTTTAATTACCATTTTCAGAGTAAAGAGTTGGAGTGACTGCAATTAACCAGTGAGTCAAAGTGTTTTTCCCTTTTTGGGCGTGGAGTAGGGTTCTTTTGTTTTTAGGAAGGTGTGTGAGTTGTACATATTATTTTCATAGTAAAATTAAAACTGTCTTGACCAATCGAGTCCTCTTATTGGCTCCCTGCCCTTCTGACAGCACCTGTCAGCCTTTGGTGGCTTTTGGTTCAGGAAGATTTTCTCCTTTTTGTACCTCCAGCCCCAGGCCTGCCGTTAGCACTGGTTGGGGGACGCAGTTGCTTTTATTGGAGAGCAGTGTGTAGGAACAATCGAACGGTGTGTTCACATTGCTGTCGGCTGCCATTGCTGTTAGGCCTTTGCAGTGAAACATTCGGGAAAGGAGTGTTTGGGGGCAGAAGAGAGTTCATTCCAATTCTTTTCAATTCCCATTGAACATCACATAATTTATTACTGCTTTGGTTTTTTATTAATATCTTTTCTGGAACATTTGGTTCCTTGCAACATTTTCTATTTAGTTATCCTTCTCCAGGTACTTACATACATGGATCTATGTACACACATGTTGCTTCAGAGTAAGCACCTCTGAAGACAACTGCAGGTCAAGCAAGAAGTTTAAGATTTCTGTGCAGTTCTACTTGTCCGGAGAACATGTCCCATAAAAAATGTCCAGCAGGCCCTGGGTAGTTTGGTTCAGTGGTTAAGAGTGTTGGCCCGTGGATTGAAGGGGTAGTGGGTTCGATTCCTGGTCAAGGGCATGCACCTCAGTTGCAGGTTCCCCAGCCCCGGTAGGGGCACATGCAGGAGGCAACCAATCCATGTGCCTATCTCGCTTCCCCTCCTCCCTTCCTTCCACTCTCTAGAAATCAATGGAAAAAAATTATCAGGTGTGGATTAAAAAAATGTACAGCAGATCATTTTGTTGGAGCATTGATGAGATGCTGATATCATTTAGCCTCTGGTAAAACTGGTTTCATTCATATGTCCTTTCGCTTAAAGTCTCAGAACCTTCAGTGTCATTGAGGCTTTATTATATAATTGAAATATTCTGTTCTAAGGGCACTTGCAGGAATTTTCACAGTGTGTCTGTCAATGACAACTGTTGGGTTCCTTTTCAATTTTTAGACATTGCTTTCTCTTCATACCCCTTACTGAATGTCAAATCTTTATATTTCCAAACCAAACGATATGTCAAGGTTTATTCAAAAATACATTCATAATTTCCCTCCTCCTTATACAAAAAGTGATTGTTTAGATATTTAGAAAAGAACAACTTGCTTTTTTCACTCAATAATATGTCCTGGAGATCACTCATGTTGATGTATTTAGGTCTTTCTCATTCCTTTTATTGGCTACATTATATTGATAGGTTTGATGTCAGTTCTCTTTTTTTTCTTTTTCTTTTCTTTTTTACAGAGAGGAAGGGAGAGAGATAGAGAGCCAGAAACGTCAATGAGAGAGAAACATCAACCAGCCGCCTCCTGCACATCCTCCACCGGGGATGTGCCCGCAACCAACGTACATGCCCTTGACCGGAATCGAACCCGGGACCTTTCAGTCCGCAGAGCGACGCTCTACCGCTGAGCCAAACCGGTTTCGGCGATGATGTCAGTTCTCTTATGCTGTCCTATGTTACAGTTCTTTGGTGTCTCTATGCATATACATGCACAAAAATATATATATAGGCTTAGCTCTGGTCTCTTTTCTTTGCTTTTTCTTATATTGAGGACATTTTTCAGTTTTCTTCTAGTGATCATGTTTTCTTTTTCTTTTTGTCCCATGTTTTACACTGAGCTACCGTGTTTCCCCGAAAATAAGACATCCTCCGAAAAAAGACCTAGCGCATGGAAAGATAAGACATACCCTGAAAATAAGACCTAGCGCAACTTTGGGAGAAAAAAATTAATATAAGACACTGTCTTATTTTCGGGGAAACAGGGTAGTACCATCCTTCAGCTCCCTACCTTACTTTCTGTGTGCACACATCTTGGGGCCTCCTTTCCCCTAATAACTGTAGTTCCCCCATACACGGGCCCTGTTCGGGCGCCACTTGAGGGTAGCGGGCATGGCCAAGGCATACTCAGTCCCAGGCGCCTTATGTGCTGCGCCAGCCCAGCCGAGTGGGCAATGAAGGATTGAGAACAGACAAGAGAATGAAAGCTGGGACTCAGTGGGATGCTGCTTCCCTGACGGGGACCCACCAGCGCCCCATCACCTTTTCTTTATTTGGAATTTTCACCCAAGGTTTTTTACCCCCATTGATTTACTTTTAGAGAGAGTGGAACTTGGGGGGAGCAAGGGGGAGAGAAACATCAACATGAGATAGACACACCAATTGCCTTCTTATGTTTGTGTGGCTTTAAATTTTTTTAAAGCACTCTTGGAGCCATGATGGCATTTGATCTCCACAGCGGTGGCATTGTGCAGGTTCAGCAGGGATCATCCCCGTTGCAGAGAGGTCACCACAATCAGAGAGGTCAAACAGCTGCCCAGGCTTCCAGAGGTGGGGCAGACCCAGGTCTTGTCTCCCCACCTCGGGAGGTTTCTTCATATATCAGGGGCTGCCTTCCTGAGACCTCCCTGTCTTACAGAATGTATCGTCTCTGCTGTGGTCTGAATGTTTGTGTTCCCCCAAAATCCACATGTTCAAACCAACCCCCAATGAGACGGTGTTAGAAGGTGGGGCCTTTGGGAGGTAATTAGATCATGAGGGTGATGGGGCCCTCATCAAGGAGGACCAGTGCCCTAAAGGGACCCCAGAAAGCATCCTTACCACTTCGACCACTTGAGGACACCACAAGAAAACACCATCTGTGAACCAAGAAGCCCCACCAGACACGGAATCTCCTTGATCTTGGACTTCCAGCCTCCAGAACTAAGAAACAAATGTTTGTTGTTTGTAAGTCCCCGGGCCTTGGTGTCTATTACAGGAGCCCGATCAGAGTGAGATCTTACTCTGTCATCCCCAGAGCCCTGACCTTCACTGTCCAGGGATGAGGGAAGGCTTTGGTTCATGCCATGCTCTGCACCCTTTGGACACCTGATATCCTTCTCGGCGCCTCCATTCCTCAGCGGAAGGGGAAGGTGGTGGTGGTGGTGAGGGCAGTGACAGTAGTGGTTGATGATGATGGTGATTGTGACAATGATGGTGACGTTGAAGGCAATGATGAAGGCCATGCTGCTTGTGCCAAGCAGTGTCGTGAGGGTTAGAGGCTGTGTGTGTAGAAAGCACCTGCTATCACACTCGAACCCATCCTGGTCTGCTCCCCACCGGCTGGCCCCAATAAACCACTCTGTGCCGTTCTCCCAACCTCTGCCAGGGGCTGGCATGTGACCATGGTGCTGTCTTGCTCCCGTCTGTAGACCTATGTGTCCCAGTGGCCCTGGACGCTCCTGCTTCTGGCTGTCAGTGGCTTCTGTAACTTTGCCCAGAACGTCATTGCCTTCAGCATCCTCAACCTCATCAGCCCTCTGAGCTACTCAGTTGCCAACGCCACCAAGAGAATCATGGTCATCACCGTGTCCCTGATCATGCTGCGGAACCCCGTCACCAGCACCAACGTCCTGGGCATGATGACAGCCATCCTGGGCGTTTTCCTGTACAACAAGGTGAGTCTGGGATAGAGGGATTGTCTAACCTACTGACACCGCGGGGGGCACCAAGAATGGTGGAGAGGGGAAAAGAAGTGGCCTCGCCAGAAGCCAAGAGGCCCAGGTTCCAGCTCCCAGTTTTGCCAAACTGGTTTATGGTCTTGGCACAGCCCCTCCCATCCTGACCTGCCTTTTTCCCCCATGGATGGCCCCAGTCCTTGCCTCCCTCCAGCTGTGGCTCTTGGGTCCACTGAGGCTTTGTCAGGATGTCACTCTCTCCTATGCAGGCTCTGTTTAGACCCCTGTAAGGACATAGGATGACTAATAGCGAGGGCCAGTCCATTAGCCGTTCACTGGCCATGTCCAGCCCTGCTGGGTCAACACTTGCATGGCCTTCAAGGGCTACCTGGCAGTGAATCTTGAGCTCCCCTTTGTCTTGTGTGTGTTGGGGGAAGGAGCCAATGTCCCCCTGCTCTCTTGCCCCTGCAGACCAAGTACGACGCGCATCGGCAAGCACAGAAGCACCTTCTCCCTGTCACGGCGGGGGACCTGAGCGGTAAGGAGCACCACCGGAGCCCCCTGAAGAAGCCCCACAACGGCGTCCTCTTCCCCCAGCACGGGGACTATCAGTATGGCCGCAACAACACCTTAACAGACCACTTCCAGTACAGCCGGCAGAACTACCCAAACTCACACAGTCTGAACCGCTATGACGTGTAGAGCCTAGAGGATAGGGTGGGCTGTTCTGCAACCCCCCACGCCCACCCACCCCAGCAGTACCAGGAACTTCTGACAACTGGTGAATGTACGTCCCGCCGGGGTATGGTGCGCAACCATCAGAGGACCCCGGGGCTCCCGGCCCCCGGGGCAGCTGGATGCCTTCCCTGCCGCGAGGACCACAGCCCCAGAGCACTGGTGTTCACGCCCTTTCTTCCTGGAGTTTGTCATCTGGGGGCGGCAGCACTACGGAGAGCGTGGCCAGGTTTCCCCTTTCTGTGTGGGCTCAATCCCCAAGTCGTGTATTCCGAGTGCTCGTTCTGCTTCTCGGATAGCATTTCCAGAAAATCCTCTGGAAAGGTGGCGTCGTTGTGGATGTAGACCCTGGCACGGGCGAGATGGACGGTTTCCCTTCCAGCCTCATGGCTATTTGCAGTAACTGGCAAACGCTCCCCAGCAAACAGCTGTTGGCAGTGAGCATTGAATTCGTAGAGGCTGATTCTTTGACCAGCAAGTCAGAGCTGTGTGTCAGGATCCAGAGGGAAGAGCGGAGCAGGGCATTGGTCCTCTCAGAGCAGTGAGGAGACTAGGGCTGGGAGAGGAATCTAGGAAATCAAGTTCAGTGTCTCAAACTCTATTTCTGCCTTTTTTTTTTGGTCTTTCTTGGTGGGTCTTCACTGCTGTGACGATTTAGTAGGATGTCGAGGAGATGTTGATTTCATGGAGATCTCTCATTTTTGTAGGAAATGTTTTGTACAATAGTTGTGTATTTATGCCTTGGACCCCAGTAGGAGGTGCATACAGACTGGCTTATAGATTGAAAACCCTTTTGCTTTAAATGTTTAAAAACAAAAAAAGTTCCCACTGCTGATGCCTGACACATATCAGCATTTGGTAGGAAACGATGAGGTGTTGAGAAGCACCTCTCAAATGACCATAATCGCTAAAAGCAGAATGAATCAAGAATACCAATTATCTGGACGGTTTGTGTGGCAGACAAGAGCAGTGGTTTGATTCCGTGTCCTATTCTTGTGGTGCTTACATTAGGATCTGAATCATGTTCTGGTGAAGGGAAAAGAGGCGAGCAGCAAGCTAGGATCTGGTTTGTCAAATCAGATGCTTTGGTCAAGAAAAAGTTGGCTTAAAAAAGAAAAAGAAAAAGAAAAAGCAGAGAAGTTGGTTTGGGGAGGCTCACATCGTGACCTGTGTGCCAAGATCCAGGTGGAGGGGATCCAGCCTTCTTGGCATCACGAAGGACTGTTATCCTCCCTCCTGGGACCGGCTGGGTCTGAGGTGATGCTTTCTTCCTTTGGCGCTGTCCCCAGAGTTGGGACAGGAGTCATCCTTTACTCCCTCGAGACATTTTTCCCACTCAGAGAGTGACGGTTTACGCTTGACGTGGTTTGTTTTTGATAATTGGAATGTTGTAAATAAGAGGGCGTTTTGTCAGCTTACATTGGGCCGCTTCTGGAGAGGTCTGGGATATCTTTAGGCCTGTGAGCTTAGGAATCGCCAGCCTCTGAAGTTCCTGTTTGTTGTCTGTTATTCGCTTGCTTTCTAATTACTTCGGCCCCAAATTTCAAGGTGATTGCTATGTGGAATCTAAAAAGGCAATCCTGAAGGGTGTTATTGGTGATGAGCTTGCCGAGTGCCTTCACCGGAAGCAGTCAAGTCTACAGCTGAATTTTTCTCAAAGTTGAATAACAAATGGGAATAATTTTGAACTGCAAAGATATTGCAGTGTTTTCTTTATGATTAGAGTAACTGACTCCGTGGACATATACCGTAATTGAACTACAAAATGAATTATGCCTCCATTCAGATTTAATGACATTTCTGATGTTGCTGAAATGTGTATATTAGTTTTTTTTTCCTTTTCCAATGCAAAAATTGCTGGTGAGGGGAAATGACTGGTTTTATTATGGTTTATAAATGAATAAATGGGATATTTAATTCTGTACATAAATTTACAGTAAGTACATACACTGGAATAAATGAGACAATCATATTAGACCAAATTATCAAATCAAAAGACAAAGACATACTTTTGAGACTTGGCAGTTCAGAGCTGCCTGACCCCTTGAAGGCTGGTTTTCCGGCCACTACTGCCCTGGTCCACCTCCCACAGTCCTATTTGCCGCTGTTCCCCTCACTCCTCGGGTTTGTGATAGCAAGTTCAGTTCACCCACTTGTGATGTGGCCTGGCCTGCAACACGAACCCAACTCCTTCATTTTACAGAAGGGGAAACTGAGGCTCAGAGGGCATTTTTAAATAGTGTTTGGATCACTGTATTGAGACTTGGTGTAGGATTTTTTAAGTCATGACTGTATTTTAAGTCATTCATTATAGGAAAAATCACACCCTTCTTACAAAGGAGAGAAGCCAGAGTATGTTCCAGGGAAGCACTGGAACTTCTGCATTTTGCTGTGTATTTGGCATCATAATGCAATAGGCCCTTTGTTATTGCTGGGACGCAACTAGACCTGATTTGTTTTTGTTTTTTTTAAATACATATTTTTATTGATTTTAGGGAGGGAGAAGAAAAGATAGAAACATCAATGATGAGAGAGTATCATTGATTGGCTGCCTCCTGCACACCCCACAATGGGGACCGACCCTGTAACCCAGACATGTGTCCTTGACGAAAATCAAATCTGGAACCCTTCAGTCCACAGGCTGACGCTCTTTCCACTGAACCAAACTGGCTAGGGCTAGACCTGATTTGCTAAGGGTCTAACAGCCTTAAAGGGCAGAGAACGTTAAATTATTAAAGGATCTGAAAATTGTAAATTCTCTTTTTTAATTATCACCTGTTTTTAAGACTTAAATGCTGTAGACTAGGGGTGTCGAACTCAATCAGAGAAGGGGCCAAAATCTAAAATCCAGCCTAAATCGCGGGCCGAATGGTTTACTGAACAGTCATAAACTGTCATTGTGATGGAAACGCAGCGAAGTGCAGTGATGACAGCGCGGTGCGGGCCACATTGCAAGGCCTGGCGGGATGGATTTGGCCCGCGGGCCTTGTGTTTGACACATGTGCTGTAGACTATCCTTTGGGAATGACACTGTATGTTCATTGATGGCATTTACCAAAAATAAATCATGGTCTCTAGGGAATCAAGACTGGTCCCAGTTTGTCAGTGAGTGTCTCTTTCTGAGTGACTTGTCTTCAGTGTGCCCAGCAACAAGATGAACAGAGATATAGAAAGAACAATCTACCTGGTTCTCATATCCAAGAGTATTGCAAACCTTATTTTCCTGAGCCAAATTTAGGACCTGTGATTAGTGAATTTATGTCATGGTAGAATGAAACTAGAAATTCCAGTTTATCAGTTAATGACATGCCTTTATTGAAGAGAGTAACAAAAATCCAAGAACGTCATGGCAGCTTGTGCTTATGGAGCATTATCTCTTCCTTTTTTTAAAAAAATATATTTTATTGATTTTTTACAGAGAGGAAGGGAGAGGAGAGGGATAGTTAGAAACATTGATAAGAGAGAATCATCGATCAGCTGCCTCTTGCACACCCCCTACTGGGGATGTGCCCGCAACCAAGGTACATGCCCTTGACTGGAATCGAACCCAGGACCTTTTGGTCCACAGGCCGACGCTCTATCCCCTGAGCCAAACGGGTTTCGGCTATCTCTTCATTTTTTAAAATATATATTTTATTGATTTTTTTTTCAGAGAGGGAGAGGGATAGAGAGTTAGAAACATTGATGAGAGAGAAACATCCATCAGCTGCCTCCTGCACACCCCCTACTGGGAATGTGCCTGCAACCAAGGTACATGCCCCATGACTGGAATTGAACCTGGGACCTTTCAGGCCACAGGCCGACGCTCTATCCACTGAGCCAAACCAGTTTCGGCTGGAGCATTATTTCTGAGGTCTAATATACCACATGCCCAGTGCAGTGGTGGTTTCTCATACAATTCTTGTAATTCCTTTGCATTGTTTTATTATTTAATAGATAAAAATGAGGCCCAAAGGGGCTATTTTTCTTGGATCACCCAGCTACTTAAGTCTGCCTCCAAAGCCCAGTCCCTCCATAAGTCTCAGAAACCTTCCCCTTCAATTGCAGTTGAAGTTGACTGAGCACAAGAGTCGGGGGCTTTGGCTAGAAATAAACGACAAAGATCTGTAAAGTCTTAGGGATTGGCAAATCGGAAACACAACTAAGCACTACACAGAGTGTTCAAAGAAGAAAGAAGAACCGTTCTTACAGTAAAAAGTACATTTCTGAAAAGAATTCAGTCCTACATTCTGAGCCTCTGGCCTGGTGTGATGGTAATCTAGAAGTTCTGTGATCTGGATAATGGATGTAAGTTTTCCTAAGTCCTTTATTCTTTCCTAAGTCTTCAGAGGGTTATCCATCAGGCATTGATGCACAACAGAATTAAAAAGGGTTAAGTCCTGCCCTGGCAGGTGTAGCTCAGTTGGCTGACAGTCATCCTATGAAACAAGAGATGGCAGGTGTGATTCCGCCTCAGGGCACAAGCCCAGGTTGTGGGCTTGATCCCCAGTAGGGATTGTGCAAGAGGCAGCTGATTGATATTTTGCTCTTACATCAATATTTCTCTCTCCCTTTCTAAAATCAGTAAGAACAGGTTAAAAAAAAAAAGTATAAGTCCTCACCTAGTTAAAGCAAGAACAGAACTACTTACTCATGCCTCAACCTACTTGATTTTAGTAATTTAGCAACTTGACTATACCGACTCAGTTTTTCCCCAAAGGGTATGTTTCTATTAAAACAACTGCCTATAACTTTTTAATTCATAAATCTTTTGTTCAATGATTTACTGAACCTTTAATTTGTACCAAGTACAGAAAGCCTTCTACCTTCAGAGAACTCACCTTAATTTATACAGCACATAGGTGATTTGTTGAAGATACATGAAAAAAATGCTAAGGAACATACAGGGTAGAAGAGTACATGGGAATGTTTTGACTTGCACTAATAATTCACAAGGTATTTTTACACATTTTGTATTCTATGTGCCTCATTTAAACATCAGAACCCATGTGGTATATATTAGACTCATTTTATGGAGGGAAATAGAGAAGTTGATTTGGCCCATGGAGCAGGCCTGGAATCCAAGAGTGTCTGACTGCAAATCCAGGGCGCTCTGCTGAGCAGAGCAGCCATAATAGTGAGCTTGGTTTTTTTTCACTTAAATCATCTACTCCTAAGAGTAGTTGGTGTGATCAAAATATACCCTGGCCCAGCTATTGTAGCTTGGTGGTTGAGCATGGACCTACGAACCAGGAGGTCATGGTTCAGTTCCCGGTTCCGGTTGCAGCTCGCAGCTCGATCCCCAGTGGGGGATAATGAGGGTGCAGGAAGCAGCTAGCTGATCAATGACTCATCATTGATGTTTCTCTTTCCCTCTCTTTCTCTCTGAAATCTATAGAAATGTATGTTTAAGAAAAAATGTATCCTGTCATTTCACTTGCCTGGACCACACTGCTATGTAAGACCCTGAAGGATGGAGACCAAGAGGTTTTGTAGTCTGCCACTACAATTCCAGCAGGGCTTCCAGCAGCTCTGACCCAAGATCGTCACTGCCTTACAATTAAGGGCCAGGTTCAGGGATGGCCCCATTTGTCTGGCAAGAGAGTCTGAACTCTTAGGAATGTTTTCTCCCAGAGACTGTAATACCTGTTGGTATCATGGAGCTCCCATGTGACAGGTTTGCTTGGTAATAAGATCAGGCCCAGTGACTGCTCTGTGCTCAAGTAGGAATAGGTGATGCCCTGTGATGCTTAAATTTTCAGTCTCTGATAAATGCATTTTAAACAATATGAAATGAATTATGAAAATAGTCATGGGTGTACAGTCTTTCTGGGAGGCAACTGAGCAGTTAATCAGCATTAAATGTGCACCACCTTAGACCCCGACTGGCTTTGATAGGGGGGGGACCTACAACCTGATAGAGCACCTGAATTAATCTGAAAAGTACCATAATCATATTTTAAATCTTAGAACACATATACTTATGTGCATAGGGGGTTAAGTGTCTTATATGTGAGTAAGGAGTTAAGTTTTTCTTAAAGTTTCCTTTTTAAGGCCTGTGTATGGGAGGTGACTCAGCTGTGAATCCAGCAAGCAGAACCAATAAACATGGTCAGGCCGACCCACCAGGAGCCAAAATATCATCCCATCGCCTGATAGCTAATTACAATAGCTGATGTCTGCGGACCCCCAGCTTGCACATAGCTGCATTCCTCACCCCAGCCCTTCCCCTTTATGATCCTGTCCTCTGAATCTTGCTGGAAAGCAGGATTTGATGTTTGTAAGCACCTGTCTTCTTCGTTGGCTGGCCTTCTCAACAAATGCCTAATCTGATTCAACCCCTGCCTTCGTTATTGGACACCAGCAGGCAGCCCGAGCCCAACCAGGTGTTCCTGGTGACAGCGTCAGTCAATTACTGTAAATCCACACCACAGAGTCATATGCAGACATTAAAAAATTACAGTAGAGATTCATCAACCTGTTTTGGTTCAGAGATCCTATTACCGTAATCTGGCAAATGCTGTATATCTTCAACTCACAAAAATTCATATATGCATGATACTATGCTAATCTGAAGTCTATCCATGGCAGGTCACAAGTTAAAACTTCTCGATATAGATCTTTACTGACATGGAAAAATACACTGTCCAGATGACTAAGCATCATACTAAACAGAAAAATCCCACAATGTGACCCTCTGCCTGGAGTGTTCACATAGCTAGCTCCTGACTAGGTTCTGGTTACTGGAGAACTTTATCACTGGAGGCCCTGCTTCCTCCCTTATCAAGGTCTCAGCGCCCGTTGTTTTCCTTAGTAACACTTCTGTCTTACGTTTACTGATTTATGCCTGTCTGCTGCTCCATCCCCCACCTCATAGACTAGGCTCCTGAGCGTAGAGCTTAAGTCTGACTTGTTTATTCATAAGCCACATCCAACACACACACACACACCCCTCACCAAGAATTTTTTCTTTTTCTTTTTCTTTTTTAGAGAAAGCAAGGGAGAGAGAAACATGGATGTGAGAGAGACAAATCAATTGGTTGCCTCCTACATGCACCCCCTCCAGGGAATGGGGACTAAGCCTGCCACTGAGTTATGACACTGGACAGGTATCGATGCTCTGTCCACTGAGCCAAACAGGCCAGGACTTTTTCGAACCAACACTGGTCTTTACAGGTGAACATTTGCAATCCTATATAATAATCCTATGAATAAAAGGCTAATATGCAAGTTGACCAAACAGAGGAACAACCGGTCGCTATGACGCACACTGACCCACAGGGGGAGTGGTGCTCAGCCAGAAGCCGGGCTATGGCTGCTGAGCGCATTGGTGGTTGGTGGTAGTGGGAGCATCTCTCATCTCCACAGCTGCACTAAAGATTTCTGACTCCTTGTGGGCCTGTCAGTCAGACATCCCCTGAGGGCTCCCAGACTGCAAGAGGGCACAGACTGGGCTGAAGGACCCCCCACACACAACCCTGAGTACAAGAATTTTGTGCACCAGGCCTCTAGTCAATTTATAATCGGAAAGACTAACTTGGAACCTCAAAAAGCATTCCATTCTTCTCATTAATAGACTTTTAAAACTATACTAAATTATTACATTTGAATTCTGCCAATAAAAAGTACCTACAAAGGCCCTGGCTGGGTAGCTCAGAGAATCATCCTGATACATCAAGGTTGTGGGGTCAATCTCTGGTCAGGGCATATACAAGAAGCAACCAATGAATGCATAAATTACTGGAAAACATATTGATGTTTCTCTCTTTCAAATCAATGAATACATTTTTGTTGTTGTTAATCCTCACCCAAGGGTATTTTTCCATTGATTTTTAGGGAGAGTGGAAGAGAGAGGGAAAGACAGAGAGAAACATCAATGTGACAGAAACACATTAATTGGTTCCGTCCCTGCATGAGCCCCAACTAGGGCCTAGGCCAGGGAGGAGCCTGCAACCAGGTGTGTGCCCTTGATAGGAATCAAACCCAGAACCTTTTGGTCCATAGGCTGATGCTCTATCCACTAACTAGGGGTGTCGAACTCAATCAGAGAAGGGGCCAAAATCTAAAATCCAGCCTAAATCGCGGGCCGAATGGTTTACTGAACAGTCGTAAACTGTCACTGTGATGGAAACGCAGCGGAGTGCAGTGATGACAGCGCGGTGCGGGCCACATTGCAAGGCCTGGCGGGATGGATTTGGCCCGCGGGCCTTGTGTTTGACACATGTGCACTAAGCCAAACTGGCTAGGGCAATAAATACATTTTTTTTAATTAAAAAAAAAAGAATCTATATAATGACTCGATTTTGCCTCTTGGCCCGTAGAGCCTAAAATATTTGCAATCTGGCCCTTTATAGAAGTTTGCCAACCCCTGGCCTAAAGTAATATCTGGCATACAGGAGCCAATCCCAAAGTGTCAAAAGGAGACATTTTGTAACAATAAAAAGTGTATCTAAAATGTACATCAATTTGCATAGAAAAAAATGGACAACTAAGCATCAGATGTCCACAGTGTGCTCTAGTTTGCTGCTTACCTTTCCCCACCATTTGCATGCGTTGATTTCATTCTCTTATAGAAAAAGGGACCATATACTAACCCTGACAGGTCAGGGGAGGTCTGCATGGCAGGCTTTACACCCAGAGACAAAAAGTAACCGCATTGGGTGGTCTGAACATAAAAACTAACTAAAGGCAGGTCATGGCAGGTAGTTATGTCCCAGGCCTGAAGCTTCCTTGTCAAAAGTCAATCTTAAACTTTATATGAGCCAGTCCAATTCCCTTTTTGCATCTAAGATAACATACTTTTTTTTTAAAATCCTCACCCGAGGATGTTTTTATTGATTTTTAGAGAAGTAAAAAGAGGAACATCAATGTGAGAGAAAGATCGATTAATTGCCTCCTGTACATGCCCTGGACCCGGGATGGAACCCCGAAATCTCTCTGCGTACCAGCTGATGCTCCAACCAACTGAACTACCTGGCCAGGGCTAAGATAGCATACCTCTGAAATGTAATGATAAAAAAAGAAAAGAAAAAAAGAAAGGTGGGGATAATTTTTCTAGACCCCACAGGGCAAGAACAACTCAATGTTTCCTTGTTCCCCCGCATACCATCTCTACGTGCATTTATGTAAATGTTAGCTATCCCATACCCACGAATGTAAAAATATGTTTCTGTTTTGCCTTTTTACCCAGTCCCAGATTATTTCCTCCAACTCCCTTAATCTATCACCGATGGATTTCATGTAACCCTCTCTGCCGCTCCTCCTTTCATTTTAATGTGTAAAAAAATAAGCTGCTGAGCTGCCCGTTCTCCAGAGCATGTTCTCAATTCCTTGAAATTTTGCTCCCCCGCGATTGTCAGTTTGGCTCAAATTCATAAGAATTCTCTACAGATTTGGGCGTTTCTTAACGTCCACATTCATTTTAGAAGTTATGTCACTGATCCTTACAGGAAGGCAGGCAGTCTGGCAAGCGTGGGCGCTCCACTCACGCGGAAGCCACGCAGTCCGAGGCCCGCGGGGGTGGGAAGGTCCCGCCGCAAAGTCTTCCTTACCGCAGGGCCGGGTGCAGCGAAGGGAGCCGAGTGGGAGGATCTTTGGAATCTCACTAAGCCCAGTCCCATCCTCACCGAGCCCGGCGACTCCGGGTTCCGTTTCCACCGCGGGGTTGGCCGGGAGCCTCCCAGACTCACCTCACCTCGCAGTCTCTTCCCTGCAGCTCCCGACAATACAACGCAGGCCCTGACCCAGACGAGGGCTCCCCAGTCCCCCTGCCCCATGGAGAAAGTGCCTCACCAGGCCTCCAGGCTGCAACGAAACAAGCAAAGAGCCCCCGCCACGGATAACGGCCGGCTCGGCCGTTCCAGCGGTCCTGCGGCGGCGGGAGACGCGGGCCCCTCCGCGCAAGCGCAAAAGAGCCCCTGCGTCTGCGCACCGCGAGCCCCTCCCGCGCGCTTGGCCTCTCGCGGCTTCTTCCCGCCTGCCTCCCGCTCTCACTTCCGGGGTTTCCCGGCGACGGCCGTAAGTGGCGGACGGAAGCGGCCCACGAGGCCCGCCGTAAACGGCTCCCTCGCGCCACTTCCTGCCGGCTTCCACAGACGGCGCTGGTGGGGGATCGAGAGGGACCGGAGGTCGTTCCCGGCGGCAGGAGCCATGGAGATGCCGCTGCCACCCGACGGTGAGGCCCAGCGCGAGTTTAGGGACCGTTTCTCTCTCCCCCGGACCCCCTGTTGGCCTACCCCGCCTCCTGAGGTCCCCGGGCCTAGGAGGGGGCGGGGCTCGGGCTCCCGGGTTCGCCTGCGGCCTCTCCCGCGGGTCTCCGCATTCCCGGCGCGCTTGTGGCCCCTACCAGGACCCGTACAAGGGCGGCCTCTGCGGGGCCCACCCCTAGAGATCCCGACCTGGCGGACGGCGGCTGGTGCGCCTGGGCCCCCGGATTTGGGCGGTCCTCGCTGACGCCCCGCGTGGCCTTTTCTCCGTTCTCCAGACCAGGAGCTTCGAAATGTCATCGACAAACTGGCCCAGTTCGTGGCTCGCAACGGGCCGGAGTTTGAGAAGATGACGATGGAGAAGCAGAAGGACAACCCAAAATTCTCGTTTCTGTTCGGAGGCGACTTCTACAGCTACTACAAGTGCAAGCTAGCGCTGGAACAGCAGCAGCGTGAGTCCTCTCCAGCTCTCTGGTCGCACCCTGGAGCGATTTCTTTCTCTGATACCAGTGCAGGCGCGGCCACAAACCGCCTTCTATGGGTCGCATGCTCTTCCAAGTTGTGGAAGCTAGGCCTTCACGATCTCTTCCGTTGTTCCCAGGCCTGCAGCAAGTGGTTGCTGGGTCCGAGTGTGATGGGGAAGGAGGTTATGGATCCACCTTCTGGGCTCGAGATCAGATTTTTTTTTATTTTATTGTTTTGCAAACGTGATGACTGAGATCAGCAGAAGTAGTGATTGCTTTAGGTGTTTACCAGGAAGGAAGGGATAGAGGCTGGACTGGGACTCTATTTTGATCCACTGTTGAGCTCCCTTTGTGGGCTCTTCCTGGGTCCAGCGAGGTTTTTGTGCATCTCAGTTGCTTACAGTCCAAATCAAAAAGCATTGTCCCTCTGGGTTTTAGTTCTTTGCAGAGGTTTACAATGTTCACTGAGTTGGACGTCAGGATTCTGGTCCTGCCCTCAGAGGATTTAAGATGGAGTTAGAAATAACAGCTGGCTTTTGAATAACCAATAGCCTCCAGGTGGTAAGGTCCTACATTCGTTTTGTTCAGTAATGAATACATTTAAGTGAGTGTGGGATTGCTCAAGTTGATGGGCATTGAAAGCTGAATGTTCCCTGGACTATAAGCGCCAGACTGCGTTTTGGGTCATTCTTGTGCCCTAATACATAGTACACAGTAGTGTTCAATAAAGAATTTGTAAGAAACTGCTAAAGTGCAGTGGCTTGAACAAGCGCGGTGTGTTTAGGTATCCATGGGAGAAACCATGGGAGGTCCAGCATGGCCGGAGCACAGAACACTTGGTCTGGAGTGGAAATGCCAGGGGAATGTTCGGGTTTTCACCCTCAGTTCAGGGGTTCTTGTGCATAGTTATGTTCAAGATGGGGTGAGGGAGACGAGCTTCCTGAAATTGCAGGAAAACGTTGTGTGTGCTTACCTGCCTGTGGAGCAGTTACTCCTCAGCCCCTGCACACCAGTTTAAAACTTCTGCTACAGGAAGTGTGAAGTCATGAGGCAATTTGAAACAAAGGAGTGATGGGTCAGGTTCATATGGTCAGTGTGGCAAAGCTGGAGGGAGCAGGAGTGGAGGCTGGAAACGGTGAGGCCAGCATGGAATCATCAGGGGCATCTGATGGTAAAGGTGTGAATTAGGTCAGTGGGTTGAGCCTGAGGGACTCAGCCTGGGGGGGGGGGGGGGGGGCAAAAGGTCGAATCCATGAACTAGGGCACCAGATGAACATTCTGACATAACCAGGTAGGGGAGGACAGTGCTTTGGCTGGAGTGACCAGGGCTGAGAGCTGCCTCCCTTACAAGGGAAGCTCACTCACCCTGCCCTGAGGGTTAGAAATCCAGGGCTGCTTGGGACTTGGTGCCATAACCTAGGAAGGTAGGGTGCTTCTGACAAGGTAGGGGCTCACGAAGTGTTTTCTGCAGGTAACAACATCTAGCTGTGATTGAAGAATGCATAGACAGAGCCAGATGGCAACTGAAAAGAGAGATGTGTTCAGGCAGAGGGAAATGCCTTCGGAGGGACTAGAGAGTGGAGGGGACAAGAGCTGAAGGCCAGACAGAGAAGGAGGGATTCTTAGAGTGGCTCAAAGCGAGGGTGCAGCATGCGGAGGGCTGGCTTGCCAAGGACTTAAGAATTCTCCTGGGAGCTTTGGAGGTCTCTTGAAGGGTTGGTTTCAGGACTGTTGTGGAGCAGGGTTAGTCATTGTAAAGACTGAGGCCCAGGACTGTTCTAGAACGGTGTTATGCAAACTCTGTTGAAGGATCCATTTCTGTTTTTTAAAATTCTGTTGTAGAGGATATACCTTTGCAAAATAGAGTAAAAATGTGATCCATAAAAGCATCAAGTACTCCTACACCACTTCTGTATTTGTGGAATCTTTCACCTGACTGCTCCTCAGACCACACTTTGAACAGCATCACTGTATGGCCATGTGGAGGGGACCAGACTGGACTCAGGGAGACCAGTTTCAAGGGTGATGCAGGTGACAGAAGAGTTGTGGTAGTGACAGCAGGGACACAGACCAGAATGTGATCTAAGAAGCTGATGACAGCACGGGTTGACTTGTCAATGTGAGGTGCAAGGGAAAGAGGAGGGTCTGTGCGTTCTAGGCTCTGGCTTGGGTGTATGGGCATAGCCATGCCAGCCACAGAGATCAGGGGTGGGGCTTGGTTGGGTAGAGCATGGAGCAAGAGGATATGCATGCCTGTGGAAAGCTATGGGCTGTTTGAGCTGTAATTAGGTCCAGAGCTCAAGGAATCTAAGGTGAACATGATAGATTTAGGAATTATGGTATGCTGATTGTAATTGCATTCCCCTGGGGGTTTCAGAGAGAAGACAGCCATGGCATCCCAGCAGTTAAGGGTCAGAGAGAAAGAGGAAGGGGCTGAAGAAGTGGCCACACAGACTGAGTGAGACAGGCACCTGTGACAGGACCATCAGGCTGAATAAGGATACCCTCAAGGGTGGGAGGAGAGATAGAGGGTAGGATGGGTGGACAGAGCCAGACTTGCCCTGGGGTAGTAAGGTAAAGGAGAGATGAATTGAAATGGAATCTTGGCTATAAAATTGTTGAGATGAGGGGCATGCAATTAAGGGAAAGTTTTTAAGACAGAAGACAGGTATATTTAGGGGCTGCTGAGAAGGAGTCAGAAAGGAAAAAATGAAGAAATGAGAGCGAGAGAACAGATTTGCTGAAGAAATGTCTCTGGGAGGTGGAAGAGGCTGTCCCCGATGGTTTCAACGCCAGAAGGCTCACCCAGACCTACGAAGTGACTGAGTGCCCCGAGATGGACCTGGACTAACACCATCTGTTCTGTCTGCCTGTCTTTATTCAAAGGCCAGGTCCCCTTGGGGTGGGACTCAGCAGGGTTCCAGAAGTGCATGGTTATGTTCAGACTTGACAAGACCCAGTGGCCGATGGGGAGACCACATCCCACCATCCAAATTTCTATCTCTTCTCATCTGGCCACATTCGGGGCACACACCCACGTGACCCAGTCTCCTACCAGTAGGATGGTCATCTCACCCTGGCTCAATCTCAGTTGACTCTGAGGAGTTCCTTTCCCCAAATAGTCAGGATAAGGAAATCAAGAGGCATGTGGTGATGGGCCACAGCATGTGCTCAGGGGTGCTGGTCTGTGCCTATTTTGGGTATCCTGGCTGGGCGTCAGGCGGCTTTGATAACCTGAAAGTAAAGCATATATTAGGGGGTGGTGGCAGAGAGGCTAAGGGACTAGGAGAGATGCTCTTGGGGGTAGAGCTTTGGCCTGGGTTTAGCATCAGTGTAGGCCTTGGTGAGGTGGGGAGTGTGAAGGGGATGGGCTCCAGCTTAGTCTGTGCCAGAGGACGCTGGGCAAGACAGGCAGTGTTGGAAACAGTGGCAGGGTTACAGTCCTGAAATCTCCAAGGAGAGGGCTGGTACAAAGGCAGAAGGTGGTGGGTGGGACACGGGAAAGGGGCTGGTTCTAGGCTCTGGGGGAACGAGAGAGGGGTGGGAGAGCCAGGCTGAGAGTGGGTGGAGCCTGGCAGACTTTGGTGGGAGTGTGGCTGCAGCACAGTGCCGAAGTCCTCTTGTGGATGGTAAGTGTAGGGAGGGGAACCCCTGTGGCCGCCCAAGTGGCAGCCAAGGAGACACCTAGACCCCAGCCACCTTCTCACAGGAGCACCTTTTCTCCTCTTCTGCCAGTCATCTGCAAGCAGCAGGCCCCAGAGCTGGAGCCAGCCGCAGCACTGCCACCCCTCACACAGCCTCCGTTGGCCTCTGCTGCACCCATCCCACCCGCCCAGGGAACCCCGTCAATGGACGAGCTCATCCAGCAGAGCCAGTGGAACCTGCAGCAGCAGGAGCAACACCTGCTTGCCCTCAGACAGGTACGGGGCCTGCTCCTCCTCTTCCCTCCCACTCCGTCAGCCCTGGGGAGGCTTAGGGCCCTTCCCCTTCCCCCTTTTTGTCTAGGTGGTCTCTGAGCTCACCCCATGCCTCAGTTTTTGTCTGTACATTGGGACTCACAAATAACTGTCAGGAGCACTCACTCCAAGCATCAGTGCTGTGGAGAGTGCTGCCACTACCCATGGCGTGTTTAGCCCCGTCCCTCTGGCCAGCGCTTGCTTCTCATTCCAGTGAAATCATTACCCAAGCTGTCTGCTGGGGTGGACACCTATGAGTGGGACTACACGTTAGACGTTGTGTAACAGGATACCATGTGGCCTTTGGTGCCATTGGCACCAGTTCTGGCTAGCCAGGTCGCTCCAAGCTTTTGAGGGGAAGGACCCTTCTGTCCTGATTCATTACAGTTCTAATACTTGCGCCAAATACAATAGGATGAATCACAGGGGAAACGAGATGAATAAAAAAAAAATAAGGCATCTATTGTAAAGCCCCGGCCCTTTTTTTATTACTGTATTTGAGATTACTGTCATATTACTGACAACAAAACACGCCAAATCACTCACCCTGGATGGAGCTTCTCATAAGATGGATGGGCCAGCCTCAGCCAGCCCTGATAGGACTGCCTGTCCCCACGGACGTCCCATAGTTCAGCCGTCTCAGTTTGCCAGTCTAATGAGGAAACTGCTCTCCTGTTTTAATTTTCCATTCCGTGGGCTCTCCTTTCTCCTGGCTAGTGACCATCCATAAGACCTCTCTGTGCTGTCCGGTCACTTTCCTTTTGTTTAATTAGCCTGCAGAGGTCCCTTGCTCCTCTGGGTCTTAATCATTCCATCTGTCACTGGCGTAGGGATAGACATTGTCTTTCCCTCTGACTCATCTTGTTCTAACCTCTGCCTGCCGTGTCCATGACTGCTCCAGGTGTGGGGGTGAGGGATGGGGCCTTCTGCTGCTGTGGGGGACACTGATGGGCAGTCTCGGTCTCACCTGGCCTCCCAGGAGCAGGTGACAGCAGCCGTGGCCCATGCGGTGGAGCAGCAGATGCAGAAGCTCCTTGAGGAGACGCAGCTGGACATGAACGAGTTTGACAACCTGCTGCAGCCCATCATTGACACGTGCACCAAAGATGCCATCTCGGTGAGGACAGTGGGGCCGGGTGGGCCCAATGCTCCCAGAACCTAGTATTCCTGACAGGTGAGAGCCCACCAAAGCCTCTGGGCCAGGACTGCTGTAGCGATGCCCCATCTATTCTTGCCCTCCCCCCTGAGCACCTCCAAAAGAGGGGGAAGGCAGGCAGAGGCTGCAGCACGAGGCCGAGCCCTCGGGCACCACCCTCGGCTGGGCACCTGCCCATGCTCTGGCTGGGGGAGTCCAACTCTGCTCACCCATTGCTCTGTCTGTCGCAGGCCGGGAAGAACTGGATGTTCAGCAACGCTAAGTCCCCTCCGCACTGTGAGCTGATGGCAGGCCACCTCCGGAACCGCATCACAGCTGATGGGGCGCACTTTGAGCTGCGGCTGCACCTCATCTACCTGATCAATGATGTGCTGCACCACTGGTAAGGGCCTCTTGGGCCCCGCTTACCTTCCCTCTTCTGGCCCTCTTGTGGCCACTGTGCTGGACTCGGGATGTGGGTCATTTGTCCAGAGACCCTGGGAGAGGGTCATCTGTGCCACAAGCTCCTCCTCTTCCCACTCTCCTATCCCCCCCTCTTTCTCCTCCCCTGCTCCCCCCACCTCAGCTTATCCCTGATTCCCAGCCCCATCCCACCTCACCTAGGACCACTGTTTCTTCACTCCTTACTCTCTTAGGGCAAATTCAGGTATCTTTCAGTATCTCTGTTGGCTATCAGCTCTGCTTCAATGATACACATTACACACCCTCAGTCAGCTGACTCTGCCCTGCATCAGGGTCCTTGGTGCTGGGTTCCCCTTGCTGACCCTATGTCCCAGCCCACCAAGACAAATCCCCCACCCTCACTGCCCTCCCCAGGCCAGTGGAACATCTGCACTGCCTTTTGGGGGCCTTATGACAAAGGTTAAGGAACCAGATGCCTGGGCCAAAGCAGGCCCCGGGAGGAGACAGGCAGAGGAAGCAGGCAGTGTGTGGCTGCCATGCTTGGCTTTGAGCTTGGCCAGCTGAAGGGCATGGTGCCCGTGAGGGCAGCAGAAACTGACCTGTCCCTCTCAGTCCTTTGCCCTGCCCTCCTCACACCACACTCAGCTGCTTCCTACACCATCATCCCCTTACTTTGCATGTGGGGAAATAAACAGCCACCTGGAACTTTCTCTGCCTTCTTGCTTTTATCTACCCCTCTTCTGACTCCAGGCAGCTCTGCAGAGACAGCCCTGTCCTACCTGTCCTCCGCCTGGACTGTTCTCCCTCCCCTGACCCACTTCCCTACTCCAGGCACTTGCTCCAGTCTGTGAACTCTCTCTGGTGAACTTGGTGTTGGGAGGGGTTCCAGCCACTTGCCTCATGCCATCTGGGCTCACTGCCATGCTGGGGGTCCCGTGCCACCTCTGTACAGCTGCAGGGACCTCCACACCCTATTATCCTCAGAGTGCCCCCCGAAGGATGTGGGGGCAGCTGCCTTGCCCTGCCAGCCACAGGTCCCCAATGCCAGGCACACTTAGCACACTCCCTCTGCTCCTGAAACACCGGGCCCAAGTCAGAGCTTCCCGTGCACATGGGATCAAAGTGCTGAGCAAGGCCACGTAGACGAGGCCCTGAGCCCACCGCAGCTCCAGCCTGTCCTTTGCGGACAGTGGGATCCTCACAGGCTCTGTGTCTGTTCATTCTTATGCCAGGAGGGAAGGCTTATTTATTAGCAAGGTCCCCGCCCTGTGTTTTCCCTCCCGCTGCTTTCGGGGGCCCAGGTGCCAGCACAGGTCTTGTGGGGAGCCCAGCCCTCGTCCCAGCCAGGTTGGGGCCCGTTCCCTGAGAAGGCAGAGGGTGCTATGGCGGGAGCCACGATGGTAACGGGCGCGTGGCCGGGTCCCGCCCCAGGGCCCTGACGCGCGGAAGGTCTCTCCCTCACAGCCAGCGCAAGCAGGCCAGGGAGCTGCTGGCCGCCCTGCAGAAGGTGGTGGTGCCCATCTACTGCACCAGCTTCTTGGCCGTGGAGGAGGACAAGCAGCAAAAGATTGCCCGGGTACGTGGCGCAGCCTCGAGGGCAGAGGAAGGTGGGCAGCGGTGGGGCATGCTGTTTCTCCCTGACATGATCGCTCATCCCCCATGTCCAGCTCCTGCAGCTCTGGGAGAAGAACGGCTACTTTGACGACTCCATCATCCAGCAGTTACAGAGCCCAGCCCTGGGGCTCGGCCAGTACCAGGTGAGTGCCACCCTCCCGAACTACAAGGGCCAGGGTGGACACCACCCAGCAGCTTCCAGAGTCGGGGGCCCCACCTCCCCCACCTGGGCCGGGAGCAGCTGATGGAATGGTAACCTCAGAGCCCAGGTGTGCCTCTAGTGAGTGTTAAGGCCAGGGTCTGAGCAGCAGCATTGGGGGATCCTGTCCCACGACAGGAAGCGGAGTACCCTCCCTGGTAAGCTTCCTGGGGTGCTTGTGACCCAACTTAGACCCTGTTCTCAGGGTGTCATTGGCGTGTTTGCAGTGTCCTCCAGGCACGCATTCACACGATGGGCAGGAAGGGAAGGAGACCAGGTAGCCTAGGCTGCTGTGGCCATCACTCGGAGGTGATGTGTAGTCGGTGTTCCCTGTACACGTTCTGCCTTTGCCCAGGGACAGGCACAGGGCAAGAGGGTCTTCGTGGTCCCTTCTACCAGCATCACTGCCCTATCGGAGCTTCCGGAATAAAAGGCACAGCTCAAACCCTTTCTCGAGCTGGAAGGCCTGGCTGAATGTCAGGAGCTCTGTGCGGGCTGCTTCCTTCAGTGAGGGTCCTAAGTGCCACCCTCTCCACAGGGGACAGGCTCTCACGCTCAGAAACAAATGAGGAAAGTGCATCTCATACTTTCTCTACGTTTTACCCATTCTTTCTTAAGTTAAATAAAAATGGACTTGTATAACTATACAACAGTTAAGGCTGCTTTTTTTCTTCCTGAGTTCAGCTTAGTAAACATGATAGCTTGTGTTTACTAAGCCTCTACCGTACTAGTCCCTTTCCATGTGTTATTTGCTGAACTTCTCCCTGAAATCTTCAGAGGTTGGTCCCAATGTTGTCCCATATTGCAGATGAGAAAAATTGAGGCTCTGGGAGGTGGTGACTTATTCAAAGCCAGGCAGCAAGTCAGCTCAGCCCATGAGCATGTCTCAGGATATTTGTCAGTGATGTATGTTTAAAGTCTGCGTGGCCATCCAAGGCACAGCTCTCATCGCCTGATTCCATTATTGGAATTCTAAACGGCACTGCACATCACCAAGATTTTGGCTAGATTCAGCTGGTCTGGTTGTCAAGACCAAGTTTATTGGTTTACATGACAGTCACCTGCCAGCCTGCTCCAGCCTCTGGGCCTCACTGCCCCTGGCAGCACCCGAGCTTCCCAGAGCTTTCCTAGCATTTGTCCCCAGCTGCTCTGGAAGGGCTGGGTCCTGAGGCTCGAGCACTGGGTGCCACTGCCCTTCTCTTCCTACTAGGCAACGCTTATCAATGAGTACTCCTCGGTGGTCCAACCAGTGCAGCTGGCCTTCCAGCAGCAGATCCAGACCCTCAAGACGCAGCACGAAGAGTTTGTCAACAGCCTGACCCAGCAGCAGCAACAGCAACAGCAGCAGCCGCAGATCCAGATGCCACAAATGGAAGCTGAAGTCAAAGCCACACCACCACCACCCGCCCCACCGCCAGCCCCTACGCCCGCCCCAGCCATCCCACCAACCACCCAGCCCGGTATGTGCCCTGCACCCCCTGGGGCTGGTCCCAGAAAGCATCTTTCCCCCAGAGAAGGGCTCTAGTTTCGGAGTCTCAGGCCAGGTTCTAATCAGTTTAAAGCAATAGGCTGGGGATTTCACATTTAAATGTGATAAAACTTTTACAACTCAGTTCTCCTTTATAAACTGTCCCAGAGAACAGACAAAGGAAAGCTGCCCAAATCATTTTCCAAAACCAAGATAACTTTCTCACCAGTTGGGCAAGGACAGAACAAGAATTTCAAATATAATACAGTGTCGCTTGTGGATAAAGATGCAGAAATACTAAACAAAATCTTAGTAAATTAAATCCAGCCAAGTATCTTTAAAATATATTATGACCAAAAGGACATGACCCAGGAATGTATACGAATGGTTTAACACTGAAGAAGTCTAATAAAGTAACATCAAATGGAAGGAAGTGATATTTGCATTAGATACAGAATAGGTAATAAAATTCAGCAATGATAAAAATTCTTTAGCAAACTAAAATCAAGATGGTAGTAGTATGATACGTACTGTAAAGCTTTCAGAAAAGAAGTGTGTCCTGCTGCCTTCCCAGCAGATTCATCGGGTCATGAAGCAAGGATTTATCAGGGAATGAAGCCCCGTCTGGGCTGCCCGGGTGTCCACTGATGACTGTTTTGGGTGGTACCTCTTGCTGCTATGGCCTCCACTAACTGCCTTCTTGCCTGGCTCCAGATGACAGCAAGCCTCCCATCCAGATGCCTGGTTCCTCTGAATATGACGCCTCAGGAGGGGTCCAGGACCCTGCAGCCACCGGCCCCCGGGGCCCTGGGCCCCACGACCAGATTCCACCTAACAAACCCCCGTGGTTTGACCAGCCTCACCCCGTTGCTCCTTGGGGTCAACAGCAGGTATTTCTTACCGGGGCAGGTGAGCATGCTGGGGCCTAATGAGCCTGATGACAAGGGTGGCGGCCGGCCTCTGTAGGTGAGGGGCTTTAGCCACTTGCTGGGAGCCTTGGAGCTCTGCAGCGGGGTCTTGGGGAGAGGGTATGATAGCCTCATCTTCACCTGGGATTAGGTGAAGCAAGAAAATCGGGCCTTGCCTCCTTCTCTGGTGCTTTGATCATTTGGGATGCTCAGTAACAGGTCCCTGTTTTCCTGTAAGTGCAGGGAAAGTCCACTTAGTGCGGGAGGGTGCTCCCTTTTCCTCCCCCCCCCCCCTTTTTTTTTTTTGACTCATTCGTTGGCAAAGTGTCAACATCTTGTCACCCTGGAAAGAACATGGTGCTTTTATAAGGAGGTGGAAGGTCACAGGTGTCGGGCAGCATTTTCTGGGGCTAAGATACTGGTCACTTCCTCTCGTTTCCTTGGGGTCAGAAACTTCTAGGCAGCGACAGGGGTCATCTCATCCAGCATAACAGAACTAGGAGGCTCACAACAGGGTCCCCTCATCGAGGGTCTGCCCCGGTTAGCAATCCATAGTCACATGCCATGGCCTGGCAATGCCTATGAGGCATCTTACACGTTTCGAAATGATTGCCATATTTAAAGTCTGGCTTTCTGGCTTCCTGAGGGTATGGTGGCCTGGGCCAGTCTCTGATGGTAGTGGTCAGTGGAGCTAACCAACTATGACCCTAGGGATGAGCTCTCTGATTGGCCTCATCTGGACACATCCTCCCTGGCTCTTGAGTTTGGGCTGCAGTAGCTGGGTGAGATTAGAGCTCATGTTGTCTTCAGCCTTCAGAAACAAGTTTCCTGGGTTGGACCTAGGACCAGACCCTGAAATAGGACTTGAGGGCAAGTAGTTGAGTGGGAGATGTCCCAGGAGAACAGCACAGGGTAGAAGGAAGTTATGAACTGTCTTCAGGGTGGGGGCCTCCGGGGCTCAGCCACTACCCATACTCTGGACACAGTGGGGAAGGCACCTCTGTACTGTCCACGAGGGACGAGGGGCGGGGGGTGTTCAGACTCCCTGTACATGGGGCCTATACACAGTCCTGTGTGAGGACCCAGAGGAAGTCCTCAGCCACGATGGGAGTGCAGAAACGTGGGAGTCAGGTTATCAGCATGGACAAGAGGGGCCAGTGGTAGGGCAGATGCCACAGCATCCACTGTGCACGACAGAGGAGACAAAGCACCAGGGCAGCGCCCAGCAGACCATCAGCATGCGGCACTGGGCAGTGCGGAGGCTGGATGGACCTCAGGAGCGTCTAACATCTGCTCTTTGTCTCACAGCCTCCCGAGCAGCCCCCCTACCCACACCACCAGGGTGGGCCACCCCACTGTCCACCTTGGAACAACAGCCATGAGGGCATGTGGGGTGAACAGCGTGGGGACCCAGGCTGGAACGGCCAGCGCGACGCACCCTGGAACAGCCAGCCTGACCCCAACTGGAACAGTCAGTTCGAGGGGCCCTGGAACAACCAGCACGAGCAGCCGCCCTGGGGTGGTGGCCAGCGAGAGCCGCCCTTCCGCATGCAGCGGCCACCACACTTCCGCGGGCCCTTCCCACCCCACCAGCAGCACCCACAGTTCAACCAGCCACCGCACCCCCACAACTTCAACCGCTTCCCGCCCCGCTTCATGCAGGATGACTTTCCCCCGAGACACCCCTTCGAGCGGCCCCCCTATCCTCACCGCTTCGACTACCCTCAGGGGGACTTCCCTGCTGGTGAGTGTTCTGCATGTTTGAGGCCCAGTACACAGCCCTCTCCTGCCCCTGGTTTCTGGAGAAATCCAGGTTGCTGCCAGGAGGAGGCACCTGACAGATTGGCCTCCTGAGCAGGCGGAAGCCCTGCTCTTGGTCTGTGGTGTGCACCTAATGTGCCCAGAGGCAGGGTCATAGGATGACAGAGGAGAAGAGACCGCACCAAGCCGTAGAGGTGTGACACTTGGTCCCTGTTCCGAGGAACAGGCACTGTCTCTGTCCTGCAGAGAAAGGCAGATAGACCCCAAAAGGAAAATAACCCCAAGTGCCCACAGCAACAGGCACCGAGTCCAGGGCCACACTGCTGTCATAGGATTGGTTTCCCGTTCCTTGTGACAACAGTTTTCATTAGCTTCTCTACTTTATTATCTTTGTTTTTCAAAGAGTCTTTATTTTAACTTTCTCTTTTTAAAATAAAATTTTATGTTTTTGATTTCAGAGAGAGGGAGAAAGAGAAACATCAATGAGAGAATCAGCGATTGGCTGACTCTTGCACATCCTCTGCTAGGGATGGAGCCCACAACCCAGGCATGAGCTCTGACTGGGAATCCAACCGTGACCTCCTGGTTCATGAAGTTGATTTGATGTTCAGCCCCTGAGACACACCAGCTGGGCTTAAAATAATTTTATTTTTACTATAAATCTGCCTCTACCTGAAATCCTTCGTTGGTTATAAATTCAGCTCGGAGATCACTTAGTTTATTACTTATGTTAATATCCTGGGGTGGCATGACAGTCCCATAGATTGGGTGGATCCACCAACAGTTACTGTTTCCCAGTCTAGGAAAAAGGTTAGTTTCCTCTAACGTCTCTCCCCTTGGCTTGTAGATGGCTACCTTCTCCCGTGTCCTTACACGATTCTCTCTTTCTACCTTACGTCATATTGAATCAGGGCCCAACCATATGACTTCATGTTGTTAATTACCTCTTCAGAGGGAGAGTTAGGACTGGTGGTGGTGAATGCGTGGGTGAGGAGTGGGGAGGAGATACAATTTAGCCCATAATATTGCTGTTAGAAGGTTCTGTGATTTCCCTGTGGTTCCTTCTTTAACCTACGAGGTCCATCAGGTGCTGTTGTGGGTGCCAGCCCCCTCCCAGCCTCGGCTCCTCCCCCCCTTGCTGCATTGCCTGAGCAGTGGGTGAAGCAGTGGGAGGGAATGTGATGGAAGGGCTGCTCAGAAAGTGGGTGTTGGTATCCTTGCTGCTCTCTGAGGTCCTTGGTGCCCCCCGGCTTATAAATTCCCTGTGAGCCTGAGATAAGTTTCTGTTTTGCAGAGATGGGACCCCCTCACCATCACCCTGGCCATCGCATGCCACATCCTGGGATCAATGAACACCCTCCCTGGGGGGGACCTCAACACCCCGACTTTGGCCCTCCTCCCCATGGCTTCAACGGGCAGCCACCCCACATGCGGCGACAGGGCCCTCCCCACATCAACCACGATGACCCCAGTCTGGTCCCCAACGTTCCCTACTTCGATCTCCCCGCCGGGCTAATGGCCCCCCTCGTGAAGGTAAGGTCTGTGCTGAGTGCCAAGCTCAGTGGGACATGCTCAGGCCAGTGCCTCTGTCTCCATGTTTAAAGCTCATAGATGAAACGAATTTCCTGTAGACTACAAAACTGCTTCCCCAGGCCACTTCCCTCTCCCCAGTGAACTTGTCCAAGCCAGTCTGTGAGAACGCACCCAAGTCAGTGAGGCCTGTGTCCCCTTGATCCCTCTGCATCTTTCTCCTTATGCTACGAGTTTGGTGCCACTTGGGGCAGGCTGGGTTGAGCGTGAGGCACAGGTCCTCTTAGTATTGGTTTTTGGAAGCCACCTTGTCCAGGGGTTGATGGCGGAGGGATTTTTCAGGAAAGGGGCAACCTCGGAGGTGTGCCTTCATGGAACCTGGGAATATGCATGTGAGGGGTGAGGTGAGCAAGGAGCTGGGGCAGGCAGAGGGACTAGCGGATGAGCCAGTTCCTGGGCCGGGCTAATGCTCCTGATTGTGAGAGGGCCCTCAAGGGAGATAACAGAGCGCTAGGTAGGAAGTCAAGGCACAGGGTGGCACCTGCAGGTAGAGCATTGCATTCACAGCCTGTCTATGCATGAATAAGGGCTCTTTCTGTCTCCATATCCTGAAGGCCATGTTTTCTATGGTCATTTTTTTGGAGAAAGAATTCTCTGGCTTTTATCAGCCTCAAAGAGGTGGGCCTTCCAGTGAGGGCTAGGTGAGCACTCTGTTGCCCAGGCAACCTGAATACTCAAATCAGACCCTGTCTCCTGCACCTGCACCTTTCTGGGTGGACCTGAGGGGGGGCTCCAGCAAGATGTGGCGACAGCTGTGTTCTCCACTGCAGCTAGAAGATCACGAGTATAAGCCATTGGACCCTAAAGACATCCGCCTTCCACCTCCCATGCCACCCAGTGAGAGGCTGCTGGCGGCCGTGGAGGCCTTTTACAGCCCGCCTTCCCATGACAGGCCAAGGAACAGGTACGGGCCCGGGGAGACACAGCCGTGGGGCCAGTGATGGGAGGGGACTGTCTTCCCTAAGTTTGCTTCACAAGAAAGACTCTTACCATCCGTACCTTCTACCCAGCATGGTGTGAGGCCCAGGTGAGGAGTGTGGTGTCTCTAAGAGAAGTTGCTTTATAGGGTCCGTTTCTCTCCTGACTGGGTGATGTGTGTCGCACGTGGTGAAAGGCTTTTCTATTTGGGACACGTTACCTTGCTGCACATCCAGGCTTTGTCCTGGGTCCCTTTCAGGATTCCCTGTGCCAGGCACAGGTTCCCATCTGTGTCACAGCCCCTGCTTCCCAGCTATGTTAGCACAGGCCCTAGGACCCTCAGCTCTTTCTTTCAGCTGCAGCTCAGAAAGGCCGAGAGCCGGCGGTGTCAGGTATACAGCCCAGCCTCTCCACTTCCCAGCAGGTGTTCCTCACCGAGAAAGCGGCCCCAGAGGGGTGTCCCGTGGGAATGACAGCCCAGTGCTCGGCATCCTGAGGGAGGGAGGGATGCCGAGGGAGGGGAGGGAGGCTTGTGGCTAGGAGGCAGCCGCCTCCCTCCTGATGAGCTTTCCCAGTGCCCCTCGGGAGGAGGCTGTTGTGGTCACACTGCCCGTCTTACAGCGAAGGCTGGGAGCAGAACGGCCTCTACGAGTTCTTCCGAGCAAAAATGCGGGCCCGACGGCGGAAAGGCCAGGAAAAGAGGAGCAGGTAAGGGCGTCCCTGCTGACTGGAGTCGTCATGCCTCCCAGGCTACATCTTGTCAAGCATTGGCTTAGAGTGACATTGTTCTGTCACACCCTAACATGTATCATGCCCCCAACACCTAATGTCATAACACATATGACATCACCCCCAGTCATAGACAGAGGAAGTCAGGTCTAGCCCCCTCTGTTAGAGGTGCTAGGGGCCCTTCCCACAGCCTGAGTTAAGACACCAGCACAAGAGAAGTTTGCTTTGGTCTGTATTCACCAAGCTGTTCAGGAATGTGATGCGGTGGCGGTGGCGGTGGTGTGAATGGCGTCCGGACCCCTGGGTCATTCACAGTCTGGGGTGGGGTGGCAGGCTCGGCCTTGTGGGAGCTGGGAGGTGCTGCTCCAGCTCACCAGCCTCTCCCCGCAGCGCACCCTCACGGTCTCGGAGCAGATCCAAAAGCCGAGGGCGCTCCTCCTCTCGCTCCAACTCGCGGTCTTCCAAGTCGTCCGGCTCCTACTCCAGGTCCCGGTCCCGCTCCTGCTCCCGGTCCCGCTCCTACTCCCGGTCCCGCTCCAGGTAGGCCGGTACCCCCTCGGGGCCTGGGCCTTAGGCGCCAAGGCTGCCCGCTGACCCGAGGGCTTCCCTCCTCCCGCCCCACAGGAGCCGCAGCCGATCCCGCTCCTCGAGAAGCCACTCGCGCTCCCGCTCCCGCTCCCGGTCCAAGTCCTACTCGCCGGGAAGGAGGCGTCGGTCGCGGTCCAGGAGCCCCACTCCGCCGTAAGATTTCTGTCTTAACTGTCCAGCGAGCTCCTGGGAGCGCTGGATCCTCTGAGGCTTTCTGTGAATGTTGAAATGTGTCATTGAGAAGACATGCTCGTGGTGGCCCGTGCTGGCACAGGGCCTCAGGTACACCCGGCCTTAACGCAGTGACGTGGCACTTCCTCATCTCACACGGTGGCTGGGCTCTGTTTCTAACCGTTCAGGGGCTCGGTGTGACCCACCCTTGCTGCACAGTGTAAAGCGGGGCATCACCTTAGAGTTCCCGTTATCTGGCTTGTGAAGAGGATGAAGAATAATAGACACAAGTGTTTGTGTCCATCCTGCACTGTGACTGTTCTCAAATGCCACACCCTGTAATACTCTAAGTTTTCATTCCAATAAATATACCTGCTCTTTTTTAAAAGATGTAACCTGTCTTGATTTTAGTTCCTCAGCTGGTCTAGGTTCTAACTCAGCACCTCCTATACCTGACTCCAGGCTTGGGGAAGAGAACAAAGGACATCAGATGCTGGTGAAAATGGGTAAGGTTCCGGGGAAGAACAACTTGCTCTGGGATTTTGAGGTTGGGGATGGTGGCTTCAGAGGAAGTCCCAACTCTCCACCTTATCTGAAAGAGGGCGGGCCTGCTGGGCACTCTTTACCAGCTTTGTGTTTATAAACCGCGTTTATGCACGTTACCTCCCCAGATGCCTAACTGTGTCAGGATAAAGGCACCAGAGTGCGGTTTTGTAGGTTGTAACCACTCGTCCCTCTTTCTTCCTAAGGCTGGAGTGGATCTGGTGGCCTCGGCGTGAAAGAGCAAGGGATCCAGGACCCCATCAAGGGGGGGGACGTGCGGGATAAGTGGGACCAGTACAAGGGAGTGGGAGTGGCCCTGGACGACCCCTACGAAAACTACCGCAGGAACAAGAGCTACTCCTTCATCGCCCGCATGAAGGCCAGGGACGAGTGCAAGTAGGCTGGTGAGGAGCCGTGCCATGCGCCGCAGCTGGCAATGGGACCTTCCTGGCTACTGGATGTGGAAGGTGGTAGGGACCTCTGTTCTCACAGCCTCCGTTTTGGGGAGCTACAGAAGAGGCCACCATAGCATACCTAGTGGCCAGTGCCATGCTCTACTGCGGGAGGCACAGGCCCCACCTGCAAACCAGCTTTCACACGGAAGGAAGACTCGCGTGAGGACACCCTGCACTCATTCCCTGGACAGTGAAGCGAGAAACATGAGCCTCTCCCCTGGACAAGAATCCGGACACCTGTAGGAATGGATTTGTCTCTTCCCAGTCAGATGGGAGTCTCTGCTTAAATCAGCAAGCATGTGTGCAGGAGGCCTTGCGAGCACCGGCGCCCGGACTGGGGGTGCAGCCGGCCAGCTCTACAGCCTGCACCTCCCACTTAGGCCGTGACAGAGCTCAGGCCAGGCGCTAGTATTGCTCACTCTTTAACAGGAAAAACAAAACCTTGATTTGCAACATTAAACAGGGTTTTCATTTGTACTCCAAATGGTTTAGTTTTTAAAAACATGTTGATCTCAGATGATCCCCAGTGAGATAATTTGGAACTTGATTCCTCCAAGACATACTGGCCCTTAGTTATTTTAGTTAAGTTGAATTTTTTTTTTTTTTTTAAACATTAGCCATTTGCTGTTATCTCCAGAAAGAAAAGGATCTAAGGAGATGGATCTGAGACATCTTCAGGTCACAGGATGATACCCGTGGAGGACCTGTGCCCTTAATGTCTACTTGTGTTTTTCACTTAAAAGAACCCCGACACCAGCACTTGCTGCAATAGTCCATTCAGACCCAGTGTGGGGAGGGGCCACAGGCCTTGCCTCCTGCTCTGTCACTTCCTTCCCCCCCACCCCCCTCCCACCACGGGGAGGTGAGGCCTGGAGGGAGCCGCTGGCCACACTGGGATCTGCTGCACTTAGTACCTTCAGGCAGTAGGTGCGGTGCCCTTTATTTGTACAGAAACATTTTCAAAAAATTCTTTTGGATAAGATGCAAAACCTCCAACTTTTCAACCTGATGTGATAAAATATTTGATTTTGTTCTAGGTTTCCTGTAGCTGTGAATTGTTTAAATGTGTCTGATTCAGGATATAAAGCATAAACGTGCTGTTAACAATTTCTTGTGGGTTTTACTGTTTTGCCTTCAAATAAAGACTTTTTCATAAAGCCCTTTTTCTTGGTGTGTTGAGCTCAGAAGGGAGGTGTGTCTGAGTGTGGACGTTGAGTTATAGGCTCAGGTCAAAGCTCTGCCTGGTGTCTCACACCAAGGTCCCCAGAATGGACCCCTGGCCCTGTGTTCTTGTAAGTAAATGGGACTCTCATCCCCCCCTCAGCCCCAGCTCGTTGGGAAGCCGGTCCACGGGGCTCCAGACAGCCCGGCAGCCTCTGTCTTGCCATGAGCGGTAGGTCACCCGGGTTCCGTTTCCACCTGTCTGTCTGTCCTCAGGGGCCGGGAGGGGAATCCCACCCCGGTGAGGCCTAGGTGCCGCCTGTCCCCTCCCACATTAAACATCCTCTGAACACTGACGCGTTATGGCTGGAGTACGAGACCAGCTTGTTAGAACCACAGCCAAGCCTTACCTGGTGGTGCTCACAGCTCCTCTCTCACCTCCTTCAGAGCGTCCTCCATGGTCAGGGGGGCGGGTCTGTGGTGCCTGATGTACTGCGGAGCAGAGGACAGACAGGGACATGTCACCACCACGCCTCAGCCTTTGGGGCTTTGGGTGCTGAAGATAGCGCCTGCCCCAGCAGTTCCTGGTCACACTGACAAAATGACAGGTGCCATGTGGTGACGCTGTGGGGACAGAAGAGGAAAGATGAGCCCTGGCTGAGTCTGAAAGGATGAGTGACTGCTGTCAGGAAGGAAGAAGGGCTGGGTGTCCTCAGGACACGGGCCCAGAGCAGGCAGCGAGGAGCCATGGAAGCCTATAGACAGCACGTGGTCAGCTCACCAGCCTGCAAACAGTCAACTGATGGACATCCAGCAGAGGAACAAAAGGAATCCCACGATGCAATCAGCAAAGTCTGGCTGTCAGACAAACAACCTGCTTTCTCTAACAAATAAAAGGGATGGGGGTGGCCGAAACCGGTTTGGCTCAGTGGGTAGAGCATCGGCCTGTGGACTGAAAGGTCCCAGGTTCGATTCCGGTCAAGGGCATGTACCTTGGTTGTGGGCACATCCCCAGTAGGGGTTTTGTAAGAGGCAGCTAATGGATGATTCTCTCTCATTGATGTTTCTAACTCTCCCTCTCTCCCTCTCTGTAAAAAATCAATAAAACATATTTTTAAAATAAAATCATGAAGAACAGTTCATATAATATGCCATTCCTATAAAGAAGTATACATGTAATATATATCTAGTGCATCGTGATGTATTTTATATATTATATATTATAACGTGACACGTTACACATCAGAGTTCCCTGCTGCCCTGGGCTGAGTGCTGTCCCCGGGGTCAGAGCCCTGCCTGCCCGCCCTCTCCCCGAGGGGGCAGCCGTGCCACAGTCACCTCTTTGGTTTCCTCCAGGGTGTGGTAGTGGAACGCGTCTCGGTCCAGGGACTGCAGGAGGGACCCGTGCAGGTGCCGGCTGGCCTCCATGAACTGCTGCGTCAGGCTCAGCTGCTGCTTGAGCATGTCATTGAGTGCGAACACGGCCGGGCTGTAAGCTGTCAGGGCTGCCCCAGCACCGAGTTACTGAGCAGCCCCTGGGCCCTGTCCTCCCAGCCCAGCCCAGTCCCTCATCCTGTCAGCATCCGCTGCTTTGGGCCCGGGCGCTCTGCAGGCCCCCCTCCCTCCGGTATGTCTCCATGCTTTCCAGAAGCAGGCCACCTGGGGAAGTAGGGAAGGCTCGCCTGTTGTCTGTCCCTAATAAATGGAACTGCCCTCTACTGACTGTGAACCTCAGAGCTCATGTCAATGCTCACCCTAAGGCAGATTTGAAAGTCTTCAACTCCACATCCAACACACAGAAAGGTTAGTAAATTGACCCATAGGGAAAGGGGGTAAATTTGATTTATGTATTTTTTAAAAAATATATATTTTATTGATTTTGTACAGAGAGGAAGGGAGCGAGAAAGAGAGTTAGAAACATCGATGAGAGAGAGTCATTGATCAGCTGCCTCTTGCACACTCCCTACTGGGGATATGCCTGCAACCAAGGTACATGCCCTTGACCGGAATCGAACCCGGGACCCTTCAGTCCCCAAGCCGACGCTCTATCCATTGAGCCAAACCGGTCTCGGCTGATTTATGTATTTTTAAATGTAATTAAAAATTTTTAATTAAATAAAAATACTATTAGAATGAAAACTGCAGCTGAAACCGGTTTGGCTCAGTGGATAAAGCGTTGGTCTGTGGACTGAAAAGTCCCAGGTTCGATTCCGGTCAAGGGCATGTACCAGTAGGGGGTGTGCAGGAGATAGCTGGTCTATGTTTCTCTCTCGATGTTTCTGGCTCTCTGTCCCTCTCTCTTAGTCTCTGTAAAAAATCAATAAAATATATATTTTTTAAAAAGAATTAAAACTGCAAGTGTTAAAAAATTATCATTATTCAAATATATAGTAACACTAGAGGCCTGGTACATGGATTCATGCACTGGGTCGGGGTGTGTGGCATGACCTGCAGGGATCTGCCCACTGTGGGAGTGCACTGACCATCAGGGGGCAGCTCCTGCATTGAGCGTCTGCCCTCTGGTGGTCAGTGCATGTCATAGCAACTGGTCGACCAGTTGTTCTGGTCATTCTGCAATTCAGTTGCTGGGCTTTTATATATATATAGATGGAAAAATCTTTGAGGTTAATATTAAGTTTTTAAAAATCTCTTTTTAAACATGCAAACGTTTCTTTTGTAACAATTACTATATTTTAATATCTTCATATTTTTAAAATGTTAAGAAAACTAAAATGGGGGGGGTGGGGAATAGTAAGTACTAGTGTAACCTTACTAGTGTCATGTGAGCCATCAGTGGCCACATGGGGACCTGGAGAAGTCTGGGCTCCCTAAGAAAAAGGCTTTTGGAGAACTGTTTGTGTGTCTTCCAGTCTGGGGTGGGTCTCCCTAGGCTCCATGACTCCCCCAGACTCAGCAAGGAGGCCAGTGACCACACAGGCTGAGTGTCTTCAGAGGAAAACAAAATAGTGGATTCTGGATTAAAAGTCTCAAAGGGGAACATACAGAATAAAAATAGCCTGGTGGAATGGTGTGTTTCTTATAACCTTCCTCTTTTGTCTGACATCTGTCTCCTTTGGCAAGACAGACGGGAGGTTCTTGATCACTCAGTCTGTCGTCTGGGACCCTAGGAACTGCAGCAGCTCCTGTGGCTGTGACAACCCCCACCAACAGATTCCTCACACCCAGCACTGAGCGTGGACCCCCTCTTCCAACGGTGGGGGTGAGTCTGCAGATGACATGCATCCACTTCACCACAAGATGGGTGGGCTGTTACCTTCTATTGCATCTGCGCTGACGACGTGACTGGCGATGGGTGTAGGATCCACATAGGCACTTCCCAGGGCTGGCCCGATGGTTGCCCTACTGGCCTCTGTTCCAAGGGAAAAGGGGAAGGGGTAAGTGGCCAGATTTGGAGCAATGGCTTCTGTATGGCGAAGCCCCCCAATCTAAATGAACCGGTCCAGGAGAATTACACCCCCTGCTCAGTCCAGGAACAAGCTCTGTCTATGCTGCAGATGTTGTCTAGATGAGACAAGGGAGCAAGACAATGCTTAAAGAAAAGGGAACTTTTGCGCTGGCCAGTGTTGCTCATTGGTTAGAGTGTTGGCCCACATACTGAAGGGTCTGAGGTTCAATACCTGGTCAAGAGCATGTACCAGGGTGGTGGGTTTGATCCCTGGCCCTGGTCAGGAGGCAACCAATCAATGTTTCTTTTGCTCTCTCCCTCCTTCTCCCTTCTTTTTTTTTTTTTTTTTTTTTTTTTTTTTAAATATATTTTTTATTGATTTTATACAGAGAGGAAGGGAGAGAGATAGAGAGTCAGAAACTTCGATGAGAGAGTGTCATCGATCAGCTGCCTCTTGCACACCCCCTGCTGGGGATATGCCCGCAACCAAGGTACATGCCCTTGACCGGAATCGAACCCAGGACCCTTCAGTCCCCAAGCCGACGCTCTATCCATTGAGCCAAAGCGGTCCCATCACCCTTTCTTCTAAAGTCAATGGGAAAATATCCTTGGGTGAGGATTAAGGAAAAAAAAAAGGAAAAGGAACTTTCTTGCCAGAAGGGAAAGTCCCACTGGGCAGAAGGAGAAGGGCCCCCTACATCACAGAAGAGAATCCACCCTGCCAAGACCTGTTTGGCTCAGTGGATGGAGCGTTGGCTTGCAGACTGAAAGGTCCCAGGTTCGATTCTGGTCAAGGGCATGTACGTTGGATGCAGGCACATCCCCAGAAGGGGGTGTGCAGGAGGCAGCTGATGGATATCTCTCTCTCATCGATGTTTCTAACTCTCTCTCTCTGTAAAAAAAAAAAAAAGAGAGAGAGAGAGAATCCACCCAAACACACCAACGTGAGACCACCAGCTAGTGCAGCCTGGGAGACTGCACTGGCCTCAGGAGCTGCCAGAAGGCAGTTTCTATGGCAACGCTGCTCCCCCAGGCCCGCCCTGGGCACCACTGACATTTGGGGCCACATCACTCTTTGGTGGGGGCATCCTGGGCACTGCGAGGTGTTAGCAGCATTCCTGTCCTCCACCCAGCAGCCACAGCCCCACATGGCTCCGGACCTCGCCAACGTCTCCTCTGGCCAGAATCACTCCGGTTGAGAAGTACCGCCTTGGTCACCGATTCTGGAAACTCATAATGTTTGAGTGCTCGGAAGAGAAGAAAACACCCAGGGCAGCTGCCCTCGTCTGTGTAAGAGGAAAGCAGGGCACCGAGGACCCCAGCCAGTTAGCCACGACAGCCAGGCTCCAGACACGGCGCTCCTTGTCATGCCGCCAGCTGCCCACTGCACAGCCCGCGTGCCTGTCGCTGCCGCCGAGGCCCGCGCCTCCCTCCTCGGGCACTCCGGCCTCACACTTACCCTTTGTCCACTGGTAGGTGAAGGCGGGGTCGAGGGTCTGCACAGCCTGCTCCTTCACGGTGACTCTCGTCACTTCCGGGGCCCACTTTCTCCGAGAGGCGCCCGTTGGTGGGGGCTGGTCTGTCTTCAGGC